AAACTCGTGTGTGTTGAGCCTCTCAAGTATGTCAGACGGATCGAGTGTTTTGAAGTCAGGACGTTCTTGAATCATCAGGGCTAGGGTGTCAAACGAGCTGTCAAGTGATCTCAGGAGTGTCTTGACAACTTCATGCTTGGTGATCTCAGTGGCGCCGAGGGCTTGAAGCTCATTTTGTGATGTCAGTGAGTCGATCAAACGTGAGCTGAACATTCTCATTGTCATTTCTCTTGAAGCGGTTGAAGAGGTTGCGAAGGACACTGATTCTCTGATCTCTCTAGGTTGAGATGCCTTCGTTGACCTTGGAGAGCCAGTCCCAGACTAGCTTAGATGTTTCCAAAGCACTCACATGGCCATACTGTCCTTTGGTCAGATGACCACAGATGATGTTCTTGGCAGTGGAGTCCAGTTGAACGAACTTCTTGACATTAGCAGCGGTGACACCTTCACCAGCCTTGGGAACGCCATTCTTGACGACATACCATAGGTCGACATCAATGGCTTCAAGATGCATGCGCATCTTATTCTTCCAGTAGGGATATTCAGTTCCATCGAAGACTGGGCACGCAGCGGAGACTTTGATTATCCCTGCAGTTGACATAGCTAAAACTCCAGGTGCTTAAACCGAATCACACAGAACAAGGGAGTACCTTGCTCTGATACCAATTGAAAGTGCTAGTGATCGACTAGAGGGGGAGGTGAATAGGCGATTTTTATGAAAGTCTTCAAAACATGGAAGTTTCAAAGACAAACGATAGAAATAAACCTATTACCCTGCAGCGGAAGGTAGACTACACTAGGCAAACCATAGTCAAGTATTCAATGAAGTGAAAGGACAATGACTAATAGCAACTAGGCAGTAAAGATCAGGTAGGAAGATATAGTGAAGCCAATCAGAACAAGCAGTCACTCAATGAAGACAAAAGATAATGCAATCATGCAATGACTTCACCAGGGCCAACAGTAAGTAAAGGAATGGGAAGGATGAAACCAGTGACTCATTGAAGACAATGATTTGTTTGAGCAGTTCCAGTTGCTGTGACAACTATACATCTGGTTAGGGAGGCTGAGATTCAACTCAGAAGACCGCGTCTTCACCTTATCCCCCTTGAGCTAAGGACACCCAGTCCTTGCCCAATCACTCTGGTAAGTCTTCAAGGTAGACTTCCAAACCTTCACAGACTTCGTTCACCGGCGATCCACAATGACTCTTGGATGCTCAAAACGCGACGCCTAACCGGCTGGAGGATTCACAGTCCTAAAGTGTAATAAGTCTTCAGATCACACAGACATGAAGACTTCAATGATGCCTAACTCTCTTTGGCTCTGGGTGGTTAGGGCTTTATCCTCGCAAGGAATTCTCTCTCAGAGGCTTCGAGGTGGGTTGCTCTCAAACGACAAAAGCCGTACACTAACTCTGAGCAGCCAACCGTTTATGGTTGTGGGGGGTGGGCTATTTATAGCCACTAGGTAACCCGGCCTGATTTGTCCGAAATGACCCTCGGTCACTAAGGAACTGACACGTGTTCCAACGGTCAGATTCCAAACACACACGGAAACTTTACTTGGGCTACAAGCAAAGCTGAGTTATCCAACTCTGGACAAGATTTGCTCTCATAGTCTTCGCTCGAAGACATAGGATTTTGATTAAGCATCACTTCAGTTACTCTGACTGGTTCTCTTGGACCCCACTTAATAGTATGGTGGTTCCTATGACTCAACAAAGAAGAAAAGGAACGACGAAACAACTAAGTCTTCATGCTCCATAGTCTTCATGCGATGTCGTCTCTTGTCATAGACTTCAATGTGAATGTCTTCACATACCACCTTTGACTTCAATGTCTTCATACATTTTTAGGGGTCATCTCTGGTAGGAAAACCGAATCAATGAGGGACTTCTACCTGTGTTATCCTGCAATCCTCACAAACACATTAGTCCCTCAACCAGGTTTGTCGTCAATACTCCCAAACCAACTAGGGGTGGCACTAGATGCACTTACACATCACGAATCTCACGATGATGGTTACCCAACACCTTAGAGCAAAGCTTATAAATGATATTACATAGGGAAATGGGCCTATACTGAGTAATATTACGAAGATTTTTAACCATAGGGATAAAAAAATCACTGTTTTATATACCGCTTCCGGTATATGACCCCCATTTAGAAAGCCCAGAACCACTCTTGATATCATCCTTATTTAAGGGCCAATGTCGTTGGTAGAATCTGGCATTACAACCATCCTCCTCAGGGGCCTTTGAAGGCCTATTCCAAACAAGGCCTTCTCCACCTCCTCAGACTCAAACGTACGAAGAAGTCTGTCATTCATCGCACCAGTTACTTTAGATGGAACATGATGTAACTCCTTGTCCACCACAAGCTCATCTTGCGCTGCATACAAGCATGTGTAAAAGCCCTTGGATTTCAACATGTATATCCTCTTTGCTTTCACATAATACACCACTAGCATTTTCTAGGGAAGAGTCCTATTTCTCTCTCTCATCGCACTCGACCGAGCATGGAAAAATTCCCTATTCCGATCTCCTACTCGCAGCCAGTCTACACGGGACCGTTGTTGTGCCATCATCTTCTCCTTGTGCAAGAGCTCATTCAGCTATCAGGCCAACTTCTTCTCAAGCGAGAAGATCCATGGTATAGCGAATTGCCCTTCTCTTGTTTAAACACCTTCCCGACTTTCTTATTAGAGTCCCTACTCCCGTCGGACTCAACTGACACCTTCTGTTCATTCCCACGCCTTGGCCCGTCCAAATCCATGAGCATAAATTGTCTTGACGTAGAAGTGCGGATATTGTTATTGGCCATACCAAACTGAATTATTATTTCCTCTCCCTCTACATTGCCATTACCAACAACACCTCCTCTATGGCGTTAAAAGGATATGCCGCATCTCCAACTCTCCCCTGACTTGGCTTCACTGGAGATGTAGTCTCATCCCCGTCTTCCACTTCCTCTTCCTCTTCCGCCTTTAGCCGGTCCTTTTTATTGTACCTTGGTCTGTCCTTGATTCACTTGTTGTCCATTGCCCTAACTCTTCGTACCCGGCCACCTGATTCTCTCTTTATACAGAGCCACCCTTCTACATCCCTTTGAACCAGTTAGGAAAAAAAAACATCTGCGTGTCCTAGCAAGCCGCACGAAAAACAGAAAATAAGACATATTCTCATACTGGATACCATAGAACTTGATTTAGTTCGTTTGAGCAGACTCAGGGCCTCTTTGATTGCAGAATTCCAAAGACACAAAATGAGAAAACATAGGATTAAAATGTCATGGTCATCTCAACCATACATGATTTTGGGCTGTTTGATTGCATTGTAGGAAAAACAAAGAAATCTTTCAACGAGGTTTAAGTGAATGCGTAGAAAAATTCTATGGGAAGTAGTACAAATAAATCCATAGGAAAAAAAATTCCTACATGATTTAATCCTATGAATCAAACAACCAACATAAACAAAAAAAATTCTAATCCTATGATTGTCGATGTACGCCCGCATTCAATGGAAAGCAATACAAATAAATCGATAGAAAAAAATCCTACATGATTCAATCCTATGAGTCAAACGACCAACATAAACAAAAAGAAATTCTAATCCTCCAAAATTTCTACGAAAATTCTTTGAATCAAAGGAGCCCTCAAGTTGAACGTCGGTGGCTTCGAATCGCGCGTTGTCTATGTATGACTGTCGATGTACGCCCGCATTTTATCGTTCCTTAGATGGTAAGTATTTGGTCCTTGTCTTACTACTCATTTAGTGCAGTACCATCAATTCGTTCAATGGTCATGCATGCCGCACAATTCGCTTAATAATCTGCAAATCGTACTACTAGCTAGTACTACGAGCAGTGCTACGGTGAATCGGGCTGGACCAGTCATGTTCATGTCATCGAGGCTCGTAGTGCTACGCTACATACACGACCCATCCATCCATCCAGGCCCCGAATCGGCAACAGAAAGCAGCACGGGAGGAGTCTGCAAAGGCGTAAGCGTAACCGCAAGCGGAAACCTGCCATACAGTACACACGGCCGTGCCAGTGCAGCGCGTTCCACATGCCAGCCAGCCAGCCAGCAGCGGCCCGGAGTAAAAAGCAGCGGCGCTTTCCCTTCGCTCCCCATTCCCCAGTCCCAGTCCCAGCCGCAGCCCCACCCAACCCCTCCCAGCGGCGAGGCGAGACAAGAAAACCCTCTCTTGTCCCCTCGGGCCGGAGATCGATCGGCGATGGCGCCGGCTCCCCCCCTCGCCCCCAAGCCCGACCCCGACGCCCCGGCTCCGGCGTTCCCGCTCACGCCCGAGCTCTGCGCCGCGCTCCGCCGGGAGGCCGCCGGCCACGACCCGGGCGGCGCGGCCGCGGGGACTGCG